AGGGAGGGACAGAGAAATACTTCAGCAAAATGCAGCTCATGTGCTAAACTTCTTGCACTGCTTAGACATCCTGGTGCCAAATCAGAAATTAGCAAGTGACTCATGAATTGTATAATAGGAAATAAAATAATTCACTTCCATAGCAGGGAACACAAAATCCTAAGGCAAATATGCACAGCATATGGTTTGCAAAGCAGTTTAAAAGACTGCAAGTGTCTGTCTATTTTCTGGTTAATCTGTTCAAATGTGCTACATGGGTGGCCAGCTCATCGATCAGAAGATACATGTTTTCTGACTGGCTGGGCAAATGACTGGAATATATAAACTTCCTGATCAGAAAGCATGTAGATGTTGAGCTCTAAGTAGGCCAAGCAGCATAAATATACTTCTCAGCAAAACTGCTTCTGAATACCCAGCAGCCAGCTAACAGTACACTAAGAAAAGGGCAGGACAAAATGAGAATGGGAACTCTGAGATAGGAAGCAGTTGCTACTGGATCTCAAGGATCTAATAACTTCTAGAAAATACAGAAAAAGCACCAGTTATTACTGGCTGTCCCCAGAAAGCATAAAACAGGTTCCATGCCAAAGTGAAAAGAGTAGAAGGAAAGTAACATGCAGCAGATTTCTTGTTTTGGATATTCAAAGATTGGAAAGAGAAGATGGTCTTAAAGAACAGCTTCTATTCCAGTTATTTTTTATATATTTGAATATACACTATTTACATAAACACACACACACACACACGTACAAGCCTTACTCATTTTCTAGATACACCTAAAAGCAGAAGTATAAGACTCTTGAACTCTGCTGGCAAAATCTGAAGCGCCTAACTACAAGTAGTTTAGGCAGTGAAAGACAGAAGTGGTAACTGTGTGCGCTCTCGGAACGCATATGGTTAATTAAGTTCTGTATAGCGCATAAATCAACATGCAAATCTATCCACAGATCAAGTCTCAAGTCACCTGGACCAACTGAGATTTGTATGAGACTCACAGCACAGCGCATTAATGCTTAGTTCTACTCTCTGGAAAAAGTGGTTTTACTTCCAGCCACAGAAATATTGAACTGAATCTTATCAGCAGAGAAGTCAGAATCTGTGTATTTTTGCTTTAGCAGTTTTATCTATTTAGACGATCACATGTTGGAAACAAGCGTTCATACCCACCGAGATAAATGAAAATTTTGGATGTCTACATTCAGCCAACAAGCTTGCTCTGACTTCAGTTGCACACCAATCATTCTACTGATCACAGAAACACATACAAACACTTAAACTATATGGAAATCATAGAACAAAGTCGGAGTATTTGGAGTGGACTAAGGATAAAACCTCTGCAACTAATACTCTTGATGTGATTAAATTACTCTTGTATCAGTTATATTAAAAGGTATTTTTATAACAAGATTTCTGCAACTATATAAAATGCTACATAAGCATCACAATATAGGCTAACTGAAGATTGTAATACCTCTTGATGTTTTACTGATAAAAAAAACATTCCATTGAAGTTATTGCAAAAATGAACAGGTGAGAAAATCTGCAATAAACACTGAAGAAATGCACTTTTTATAGAACACTGTCCTGCTTCATAACTTACACAATGCTTAAACAGTCTATTTCTTGAGCTTAATACCATTCTACTTTCAGTAACTAGCACAAAAGTCTTCTACCAAGATCAATGTTAGTCTATCCTCTTACTAAAAGGTAACTCAGTGAAACGGTCAAGGCAACAAGATAAAGCAACTTTTCCCACATGCTGAGAATGTAATGACTCAAAATAGTGAATGCTGACCAAATGTGACTGTGCTAAATGCACAGTGCTGCTTTAGGTACTCTACACCACATTAACTGCCATAGGGATTGGAAATATTCAGGTTCACCTATTTATAACAAATCCACCAACTTCAGCTTTTAAAATCATAATTATTAAAATAATTCTGTAGCACAGAACTTAAGGAAGTTCAATGATCAGTAGTATCCTTCACAGTAAGAGTTGCAGAGGCATACTATTAATTTGTCTCCTGCTTGAAGAAAGTTTACAGCTATAGAGCACATTTTCGTTACTTGTTTTTAGTTCCATTAAATCTCCAGGCACGCATTATTGCCTGTATTAAATGTGTTGCTGTATACAAGGGAACTATCTTCAGTTGTATTTATGTTAAGAGAAAAACCACTTTAATGCAGAGTTAACCCAATTTATTACTTTCTTATTCCTGAAGGTGAAGTAAGAGAAAACACTATTTTGCAGGACAGAATATAGTGAAGTGGAGATTTGGAAGAAAGAGATAAGCCATTTTTCTCCTAGTTCTTTGTCCTGTTTCAAAGGTCCTCTCCCACTCATCACTTTTTAATGACTATATTAACAAAATACTTTCATTATTGTCTAATACTGACAGCTCAAGAGAAAGTGGCTGACTTCAGTGACAAATGGTACTCAAACTCTAGCAAGGGTTTTATGGAAAAAGCATCTCATTTCAGACCCACATTACTCCCATTTCCCCTTTTTTGATCTCTTACATAAAGATCATTCTGTATACATATTCCTGTGTAATAACAGTCTATATTGGAAAAGACCCCATTTCAATGTTGCTACTTTTGGTAGCCATCTTTTGGGTATTTCTGACACAGCAAGGTTCTGAAAGAATAAAAGGAATGGCTGAGTCCTATATCACTAGGTTGGCAGAATAGGAATAAATATTGTGGTAAGGGAAAAACTTCTTGACATTCACATTCCTGACGCACAGCTGTCTTGAGTTTTTCACCTTCCTGTGTTAGCATTTTCTACTTTCCTTATTGTATGATCCAACTTCCAAGCAGTGAATGAATGCAGGATCACATTAACTGCAGGTGAAGCAAAGGTGCAATTGTCACTGATTATAAAGCTTTTAAGCAACATTGAAAGGGGTCAAATTATATACAGAGGCTCAAGAAACATCTGGTCTCACAGAGCAGTGAAGAAAATTAAGACAACTACAGGCCATCTTGTAAAAGCTTTCATGTTTTGATTCTGTCATCGGAGGTGAATCTGGGGCATATGGGAGTTTATCATAGGCTGCATCATAGTGCTCCAGAAGCTTTGGTGGATCTTGTTACTTACAGAAGTCAGGTGAAGTTTTTGGCACCAGACTACAGCAAACTGAAGTATTCCCGTCTAACTCTTCCTAATTGGTCAAGAGCTAAGGGAGCACAAAAGTGGCTAAAAGACACCTAATTCTTACAGGGACTATAAGGTGCAAATTTTCCTGTGCATCAGATAATGATCAAACATTTTGCAGTTCACAATAACATTCACAGAAAGCTTAAGAAGGAAAAAAATGTAGTATGACTACATCAACCTTACAGATTTTTATTAATTCACTTTCATCTATTCAGACAATTTGGAAATTGGTCATTTAGTCTACTTCCTTTCAAAACAATGTCTACAGTGACATCTAGAGCTGGGATATTGCAGTTAGCTTAGTATGTTACACACCCAAACCCTACAGGCGTATTTCTGCACTGCTTTTGCCAAAATGAAACACTATCTGTTGGTTTACACTACTTTAGACTGATACGTTAAAAATTCTTGCTCACTTATGTAATTGAACAGGTTTATTTCTAAGGATGGTATTTAATAAAAACAGTGATTTTAAAGTTTTCAGAGTCTGAATAAGCTACAAAATAAACTCCCATTTTACACTCAGCAAAATGGGCCTCCCTCAGAGGCCCTTGAAACTGAAATTTGTTTTCGTTCAGTAACATAGTCCAACAAAAACAGGTGCAGCTTTCAGGAACACACAGCAACATAAAGATGATATTAATTCTGAAATTCTCCTGTGATACCAAAAATGAACAATTAAAAGAATCTGGAACCTTCAAGACAGAACAAGATGAGACACTCTACCAGCAATTAAGAGGCTGTATTTAGAATTTGCTGTAAGAAATGACTTTTAAAATACCAAACTTAGAGGGGGAAAAAAAAAAAAGCCTATTACATGGAATAATTTTCTTGATTTTAGAAGGAAAGGAAGAAGATTGAGAAAGGGCTGCAATACCTGTGTACACAAGACCAAATGACTCTTTAAAAGAAAATCATCAGTTCAGTGTCCATACTCTCTTCCCTCACAGATCACCTGTAGGAGTTTGAAGCACAGCTTACCCTCTCTCAATCTTCTCCAGTCACTAAAACCAGAGATTCACTCCTCAAACTGCACCATCAGAGCTTGTCAGAATTTTCATTAATTCCTATAATGCTTAACTCACTTTGGATAAAAGCAAACTCTTAGAGAAGACAAGTGGGAATAACTATCTTAGACTACGACATTAACAACGAATATGTATATTCAAACTGAAGAGAGTCAAACCCACTTAGGTTAAAACTCCCAGTTACTTACATGACAGTATTTTGGGATAAACTAGTTCCATAAATATCCATAGAAATAGTACAAAATTTACCAGATCAAAAAAAGTATGTACATACACTGTTGTTAAACACTGTATTTCTCCTCCCAAACTTGTTTGTATTAGAGAAGTTTTCATAATAAGTGTATAAGACTGCTTGCAAGAAGTAGGTAATACTACCAATACTGTGGCATTTAAGCATGCACATCTCTGAAGTCTTAGTCTGGATGAAGACTGTCATTATGCTGTCAAAACGATGCCATTGATCTACCAATTCCAGTTTAATTAATGCAATTAATTTATGTACACACTTGCCTAACAAGAAAAAAAAAGCAAGCAGATTTCATATGAATATTCAAAAACTAGAAATTAAACTGACTTTGAAAGTAATTTGCAATCAAATGCATATGTAATCTGTGAAGAAAGACCTCCTAAATGTTCTATATTGATGGAATTAGAGATTGGGTTTAATCTTACATGACACAGTAAGAGTAAACACACACTCAGCAAATATAGCTTCCTTTTCTACAGCTTCCCCCTTCCTTTAAATTACAGAAATCAAAAATCTGTAGTTTGTATTATTGTGGTGAAAAAAAGGAAAAATTAAAACCCCTTACCTTCACATCCCTGTGAATTATATTATTATCATGACAGTAACGTAGAGCTTCCAATATCTGTCTCATGTAATGACTGAAAAAACAAAGACATCATACATGACAAACCTGCAGGGAAAATTACTATAAACATATAACAAACCAAGTTTTAAGAGTCTAACTATGTAAAACTAAATCAACCAACTTAACCTTAAGTATGCAGAGATCAGTAGAATAGAGTTTGTGTTTATAATAATGAATAATAAAATGTAAAGTTTGAGGATTATTCTGATTGAAGTCAAGGAAAATTAGAAAAGAAAAATCTGCATTTTCCATTTTGTAAAGGTTTCAAATGTTCAGTAATTCTGCTTCATATGACAAGGAAGTCAGGACCCTTCAGGTCTTCTATAACAAAACACAGAAAGGCAAAAAGTGAGTATCAGTGCTGATTTAACTAGAAAGGGACAGAACCAAGATCTTGACTTGCTTGATGCAGATTGAAGACTAACTTCTTTCTCCCGTGTCCAAAGGATCCCCTGACAGATTACTGACCACAGAAAGCCAGGAAAGCCAACAGCATCCTGTGCTGCATCAGGCAGAGCATTATTATTGGACTAAGGGAGGCAATCCTTGTCCTCTGGAGGTTCCAGCTGGTTATAAGGAAATGTTTTTCCCTAGGAACATAATTATGCACTGGATCAAGTTGACCAGGGAGGCTGTGGAATCTCCATCCTTGGAGATTTTCTAGACCCCCCTGGACAAAGCCTTGAGCAACATAATCCAAATGAAATGTTGACCCTGCCTTGAGCAGAAGGTTGAAATAGAGACCTCCTGATGTCTCTTCCAACCTGGCTTCTATGATGCTAAAAAAACTACAGTGTCAAGAAAAGCAAACAAAGAGTCTCATGGGCTTTGAGCTCAATTATCATGCCACTGGGACAATGGGGTTTGTTGTCCTTCTGCAATTATATAGACTCTTTGACTTTAGTTTACCTCCTAAGTGAAAAGTTGAAGTGACCATAGATAAAGTGATATATAAAAAAAGGGGCGGGGGGAGGCGGGGGGGGAGACGGGAGACAACTCCATCTAGCAAGACGAATAAAACTCAGACTTGTCAGGCAAGTCACCTAATGCCATTGTATGAGAGATCCATAAATGGCAAAGACAGAAAATTAAGTATTGGATGTGAAATACTATTTTATTCAATAATCCCATCCAAATATACAACTAGTAAATGACAAAATGCTCCAAAATTCTACTTTGATTATGTGAATTATTGTAATAAACATTCAGACTGTGGAAACAGGATTATTTATAGTGTTCCAACTTCTAGCTACCAGATTGTACAACAGTGTATTCCATTATTTTCCATTTATCCTGTGGGATTAATTAAAATTATAATACATACCTGGCTACAGCCTCGCTGTACACAAATCCAGCATCTGCTCTCTTCACGATTTCAAAACACAGATCTGCTCCATCCATACTGCAGGTAAAAAGAGGGAAAAATGCTTCAAAAAAATCTATTTACTCCACTTATATAAATCTTATATAAAATACTCTGGATACAATGCATTACTAACTAAACCAGCATTTAATAGGTAATCTAACAGAATATGGCTTGCCACAGGTTAACTGTTTTATGCCCCTCAGATCATATAACAGTTCTCTCAAAACATTAGCAAAACCAAACATTTCTTCTACTGCTTAAACCGCTCATTGAACAAGGTGCGCAAGACAGCAGAAAGTCAATGCCCTGTACAAGAAGGCTCTGCAAGTTAACAACTAATGCATGACATTACATTAAGTCTGTTCTTAAAAGCATTACAAGTGCAACTCTATCATAAAGACTGTAGTTATACAAAAATCTTACTCAAATTGAATTTTAAATGAAGACTTTAAAAAATGCTATAGAAATGTAGTATAGTTTTTCCAGTTAGCATTCTCATAAGGATAATTAAGAAGCCAAAAAGATATTTTAAACCTCACAGCCTCACTGAAGGCACCTGAAAACAGTGACAGCACACATACTGTATCGCTAGCTCTGATACTTGATAATTTTGTTCCTTTTCTCCCTAATTGTCTGTAGTCTTTCTGATAACCTAACTTCTCACGATGAGTAGTATTAACACTTTTAGATGCACGTATATTGATAGTCCTTAGGCTAAAATTAGACTACCATTTCTCTAAAACCAAAGCAGCTTGGTGTGGCGTAACTGCCCTCCCTTTCTTTCTCCTGTAAGTAACCTAAGGCAGATTTATATCTAAAAATGTTCACTGCTTGACGGGGCAAGGAGAGAGTAACAAGACTTAACAGGAACAATAAAAATCACATTATAATTCATGCATAACAAGGCACTTGCCAAAATATCAATTGTAACATGTCATTTTCAGCATTTACACATTTCTTTTCTCTCCACCAAAGACTCAAGGGGGGAAAAAAAAAGCAGAATTTGCAAGGTATCTAGAAAGCCAGCGTCATCAGGGCCATTTTGGTAAGCTATCCAGAATGTCAGCATACAATTACTTTTGCTTTGTTATGCACCTGTGTATTGGGTTTGTGTGGCAAGGTTTTGGTATTGGGGGGCTGCAGGGGTGGCTTCTGTGAGAAGCTGCTAGAAGCTTCCCCCGGGTCCGACAGAGCCAATACCAGCCGGCTCCAAGATGGACCCGCTGCTGGCCAAGGCCGAGCCCATCAGCGACAGTGGTAGCACCTCTGGGATAACAGATTTAAGAGGGGAAAAAAAGTTGCTGGGGCACAGGAAACTGCAGCTGGAGAGAGGAGAGAGAATTTGTGAGAGAAACAGCCCTGCAGACCCCCAGGTCAGTGCAGAAGGAGGGGAGGAGGTACTCCAGGCACCGGAGCAGAGATTCCTCTGCAGCCCCTGGGGAAGACCCTGGTGAGGCAGGCTGTCCCCCTGCAGCCCAGGGAGGTCCACGGGGGAGCAGATCTCCACCTGCAGCCCGGGGAGGACCCCACGCCGGAGCAGGGGGATGTCTGAAGGTGGCTGCGACCCTGTGGGAAGCCTGCGCTGGAGCAGGCTCCTGGCAGGACCTGTGGCCCCCGTGGGGACCCACGCTGGAGCAGTTTGTGAAGAACTGCAGCCCGTGGGAAGGACCCATGCTGGAGAAGTTTGTGGAGGACTGTCTCCTGTGGGAGGGACCCCACGCTGGAGCAGGGGAAGAGTGTGATGAGTCCTCCCTGTGAGGAGGAAGGAGCGGTAGAGACAACGTGTGATGAACTGACTGCAACCCCCATTGCCCGCCCCCCTGCGCCACTGGGAGCAGTAGGTAGAGAATCCAGGAGTGAAGCTGTGCCTGGGAAGGAGGGAGGGGTGGAGGGAAGGTGTTTTGAGATTTGGTTTTGTTTCTCATTACCCTATTCTGGTTGATTGGCAATAAATTAAGTTAATTTTCCCCAAGTGGAGTCTGTTTTGCCCATGACGGTAATTGGTTAAGTGATCTCTCCCTGTCCTTATCTCGACTTATGAGCCCTTTGTTATATTTTCTCTCCCCTGTCCAGCTGAGTTGGAGGGGGGAGAGGGGGAGTGACAGAATGGCTTTGGTGGGCACCTCCACAACCTGCAATGCAAAACTTCTTAATGAGTCACAAACAATGTGCAGGAGCTTTAATTCCCAAATAAATCCAAAAGGTATCCCCATGCAAAATACACTATCATGTAGATAGAGCACTGACAACTATAAGAGAGACTGGGGACCAAAAGAAATGCACATTCATTTAAGTAGGTGGAAAAAAAATTTCCTGGGCAGTTATTTCAGCACCTGGTACCACCTTCGGATTTAACAAGCCCCACAAATAAAGATCCAGAGGCACTCAAGATTTTTAGCAGTATCAATAGTTGCTGAGACACCGAGCCACAAGTGTCATTCCTTTACACTAACTTTTCTCTTAAACAAGGTGTTTATAATCAAAATGGTCTTGAACATGTATTTCTACCTCTCACTTACACATACCAGCATTTTTCATTTAAATTTTGTAACAGTAAGTGGCAGTTTGAATTCTTTTTGCAAATTTTTTTTCAATTAGTTTAAATTGTTTTGATACTAAAAATTGCTACAGACTGTGAGCAGTAATGTTTGAAAGTTTTATGCCATTAAGATGAATTCTTTTGATCTCAAAAGCACAAATATGTGGCAGATCTATTTTAATCGCTGACTTTAACTGACTACTTTTTCAAGACAAAATCTTATTCCAGGAGTAGATTTTTCTTCCTGTACAAATAAGGCTTGTATCACCCCAATGATGTTGAATTTTATAAGAAAATCTTAGGTGACTTTTATCTAGCTGAGGCTGCAAAAGCAAGAGTCAGCCTCAGTTATAAGAAACCCCAGAAAATTCAGTGCACTAACAGACTAAAAACTCAGCAATATGACAACCACTTAAAAGATGACTTTGCAGAAAGTGAAAGCATTATGTGATGTAAGAGCATTAAAGTTTTGAGATACCAATGAAATGAAATTTCAGGAAGTCTCAAGGTTTTTTAAGGACTAACAGCATTAGGCACATGAGAACCATAAAAATAATTTTAAAAAGTTAAAATCCACCAAAATAAACACACACACACATATATATATGCTGAAGACATAAGAGGAAGATGCAAAAAAAGTTGGCAAAATTACAGCACGCTCGTGATCTGAGAGAGAATCACCTGATACCAGTAGAGGGCACTCACGGAAGCTACATAAACTGATTGGGACAGGTCATGGTACTTACACTGAAAGTGCCAGCTCAAGCAACTCCGAACGGGGAGTTAACAGACACCACCACCACATCTGAATTGTTTTGGGTATCAGTACGAAATATGTCCCCCAATTTCCCATATTCTACTATTGATTTTTCCATGTTTTTAGCAGAACTGTGCCTGGATCTCAGCCCTTTGGATAAATGTTTCTTTCCATAGCTCTGATCAGTGCTACTGTGCACCTTGAAAATCTTTCTACTGTTCTGCACAAAGCTGATGATAAGTTGCAACTTGCCCAGAAAGTTTACTCCTGAATCACATTCAATGCAGAAATCTGTTCTGAGGCCAACAGTCACTCTGAAGAATAGACAGTATACTCCAGAAGGGATCTACATTTTAATACTGGGGTATGATAGCTTTGAATTTGCAGATGACCTAATAAGATGTGACCTACAACTTAATTTATCAATGAAGAATCAGAAAGTTTAAGAAACACTGCTTTAGTGAATTGAATTATTACTTAAAAAAAAAAAAAAAAAAAAGACTTGGCATATTGCTTGTAACTGAGCTTAACTGAGTTTTGTACCATGTATGTTAAAGGTCTGTGCACAATACCATTTTTTCCTTCAGTTGGATAGTTTTTATATACTTGCCATCTTCACTTACAACAAATAAACTGCCATAAATTAACTTAAAAAATACAGTATTTAACTTTTTTTGAAGAGCTATGTAGTAACCTCTGAAAATTAAGACCAAGAGATACAGAAACTCTTACTCTCTATATATTGCCCATGCATCCAGGCTTTAGCTCATTCTAGACAATTAAATGATGTTCCTGAGTTTACCTTCTCAGCATCTGTTTAGTACTTTTCAGTACTTTAGATTGAGACATTTTTACAACTTTGGTGGCAGCCAAGAGATGAATTTCAGTGCTCTTTATAAACTAACTCATTCCATTTAGTCACAAACAATGGACAAACGTCGCTGAATAATTCTTAATTCCTAAATCACAGCATAGAAGATGATCTTAGGAGGAGTAAGTAATTCTAAATAGGTATGCTTGGAAAAAATTTTCTACTAGTGTTTTCATAGCAATTGTTCAACCTGAGTATTAAATAGCATGAAATAAAGAACATAGGCATCCTTAAAAAGCACTGATTTTCGTAGTAACATAAAAGTAGTACTGTACCTAACCTGAAATCTTTAATCCATACTCCAATTTAATGTTAAAACCTCCATGTCAGCCAGTATCATGAGGCCATACAAAAATACTCACTTTATAGCAATGCTGTGTGAATTAGTTCATGTTTATACAAACTCTTGAAAATACAAGTATATGCATTAACATTTTATATTGACTTCTACCAGTTAATTTTGCTTAAAAGTGGGTCTTCTGAAGCTTTGCTAACATAGAATAATGCACCTTAATAGCCTGTGATACTTAAAGTTTTAATAAATGCCTGAATTTCAATGCATCAGTGTCTCAATGCTCTGAATTCTCAGTTGCTCTGCCAAATTTTGCTACTTATTATAAGAGAGCCAAAATTTCGATTTCTAAGTCTGGCCTTCTGAACAGGAAGCCCCCAAAGATTGCTCTTTAAGCATTAATACTAATGAAGTCTGGGGTCCTATTAATTCCTGTCCTTCAAATGAAGGAAATCAACAAATATTAAGCAAAAGTTAAGACGAAAACCTGGTATCTCTTTCCTCAAACGTAAGTTAGCTTTAAATTCTCTATCACTTCCTTCGACCGTAATCAATCAATAGTTCACAGGCTATCGGG